TTTGTGTGACCTTTCCTGAGTCTTGGCTTGGGTTTCCAACATTTCTCGCTGAGCAGTGACTGTCTGGAGGAGCTGGAATGTGAAACTGTGACAAACCATGTTGCAACACGATGATGGTGGTGCCGGTTTGATCTTTCATCTGGATAAAACTGCCTTTCTCTTCATGATGAAATCTTACTCCGGTGGTATTTAAGTGTGGGGTTGTTGGTTTTATGATTTCCTGTGTCTTTACTGTGCATGAGATGTGCTTTGACTAACGAGGGTCAGTTTAGTGAATCCTTTTAGCCACTTTCTAAACTAAAAGGTAAGGAAGTTCATGCTTGTCTGATTTTTAAGCAGACGCTATGSGGGTCCATGGTCCCAGGTGCCTGAACACCCGAGAACTCGGTGCCACCAAATCAACTCTGTCGCTCAACTCACAAATGCAAATTTCTATAAATGTTGCACGCACCATTTACTGTGAAATAAACACTTTCCAATGTTGTGAGATTTATTTCCTAGAAATGCGGTTAAAACAACAAAAAGTCAACCAAACATAAACTGTTTTTTTTTCTTTTTTTTGGTGCCAAGTTTACAAAATGGCATCTTGTTTTTTTTATGCATACTCGTCAGTCTTTCAAGCTCCAGTAGTGATTGTTGTAGTTTTCCTTTAGAAATTGAGTAAAAAAGCTACGCATCACTGCAGTGAGAACAAAAACATTTGATTTGTTAGTGAATGTGGTCACGGTGTAGGGCTGCACGATATTAGAAAATCTTACGWTGACAATATAAGGTGCAATATGTCTTTTCTTTCTTTTCTGTCCTCACTTTCTAATCTGTACTTCCTACTTTATGTGACCTTTATCACTTTTGGCAATGTCATTTGTGTCTGGTGTGAGCTTTTGTTGCCGTGAGACTCTATCCTACTGACTAAATATTGCATTAGCATGAAAAATGCAACTTCAAAACTCTTTAAATACATTAGTCAACAATTATTGCACTGCAAGCAGTACTTTGCTATATGAATATTGCACACACTGATATTGCGATGACAATATATTTGCAATATATTGTGCAGCCATATCACTGTGGTTGCTAAACCTTCTAACCAGGGGCGGAGCTAGACTTTTTTTTTT